TGCCCATTCCAGGAGGCCTGGTGGGTAGATTGGACCTGCTCAGTCTCACAGGTTCACCCTGTGTGACCCTGTCCTCTACAAGTTTACATTATTTCCATGAGGCAAATGGAGGCAAAACATGCCTCATGAGGCTGGTTTGGGGACTCTGGGAGGTGGATAAGGCTCCAACTGTTCAGATGTGGGGCAGCTCACAGGTAGAATGCTTTAGATGTACAGAAGATCCCCCTTGGCAGATCCAAGTGTTTCAACATGAGAAAAGCTGAGAGAGACATCCAGTGAACACCACACACCAGCCAGCTTTCATCAGCCTCACCAACATTTGCATTCTGTGGTACATGCTCGGTCACACTTTATCCAACCGCAGAGCCACCTTTAGGTTTCATGATTATTTTACTTTTTATGTATTGAGACAAAGAAAACCTCATGTATCCCAGGCTGGCCTTAAATTCACCTTGAAATTCTGAGCCTCTTTTATCCATCTCCCTGGGATTACAGCCAGTCACCAGCATGTTAGGTCTGTGTGATGCTGTGGATGCAATCCAAGACCTTCTGTATGATGCTAGTGAGCCCTCACCCAACTGAGCTCCATCCTCAGCCCTGTTTTTATATATTTCAAAGTGAGGGGCAGACAGCAGGACGTGACACTACCACTTCCACACACAGGCCACAGTTTTTTATATAAATTTCCACACAGTGAAAGCGCCAAGCCTGTGATGATTTTATGTATCCATGTAGCCTGCATCTTAACCACATTATACAACATCCCCTTCCCCCAAAGTCCCCTCTTTCCTTTCTCCAGTCACTCTCTGCTCCCCTAGAGACATCCATTGACTACTCTACTGCGCAGGCTCCCCTTGACATCCAAGACACCCCACACTCCCACCCCTGTCCTCTCCTTATGCTCCTCCCTGTTCCTTGTTACCCTTCTTCTTCCTGCCTCTGGGCCTTTGCACCTGCCGGCCCTGCTGTCCTCCATGCTTATTATCCCCCCTCTGGACCACTCGGCAATCCCTGGACCTCATCTGAGATGTGAATTCTCCAGGAAAACCAGGAGTGTGCCCAGCTCTCAGGCCAACACTAGCACAGTTGCCAGTGTCACACACAGACAATGGCTGAGTCTCCACCTGCCTGGGCACTCACTGAGCCCTCCTGCTCCCCACACTCCGCCCCAGACCAGGCCCTGTTCCACATCCACTTGCTACCGCCTCCTCCAGGCCACAGCCCTCCCACCCGCTACTGTGAGAAGCCAGGGGGTTCTCTCTCCTGCCAAGGCCAGACTCAGGCCTACGTTGCCAGCCCCGCACCAAGTGATGCTTCTTGCCCCTCCCTGGCAGCAAAGGGACTCTGAAGGCAAGTGGCAGAGATTCAAGTCCTGACAAGCTTGGCTTGTGTCACCACAGCATAGTCTGTTTTCCTGGTCAGCTCCTTCTCAGGACTCGGTTTCCCTGTCTGCAGCAGGGGCGTCAATGGAACGGCTAAGGACAGAGTCTGGGCATGAGTTCTGCTGCCATCTTTCTGCCTGCTTAAAGCCAAATGGTGATTGAATCCATCCTGGCCCATGAGACTGAAGATGGGACCTGGCACACAATGTTTCTAGGGACAGGGCTTTCTCAGCTTCATCATCTAGGGTCCTGGTAGGCTCCACAAGGCCAGACGGGGCATAAGGAAGAAATCCCACGAGGGCCAGAAGGACTCTGGGATTGGATGACTTCCTCCTCTCTGGCCTCAGCCTGGCTCTGCACAGTGAAGAGATTGGAAGGCTGAGTAGGGAATGTCTGGATTATGCCTGAAGCCCCAGGAGACCACAGCCCCTCGTGGTTCCCCGAGTGTGAGCAACCGCCCTGTGCAGAGTGGTTTCTGCCCCACCTGCTCTGATCATCAATTTGGACCACTCCTGACCTTCCCTGTGCCTCTCTCTGCACCTCTGTGTCATGAGAAGTTAGGAGTGGCATTTGCAGTGGATGGTCCCATCTGTGTCACTGGGGCTTCCACTGTGTAAAATCTGAATCTCTACTGCCTGGCACCAAGGAGTTGTGCCCCAGATACTGGATAAGCAAACACATCTATCACCATTTAAACAAGTAAAATCCAAGAATCCAAATATGCTTTTCCTCACCCGAGGAAGCAGAAGCCCATGTGACCTGCTGAGGGCCAAGCATGGTGGCTGCCTGGGGGTGGCTGTTGTCCTTCCTCCAGGCTCTCTTACTGCCTTCAGTTCTGAGGCCAGCCCAGCCCCAGTGACTCTGAGGCTGGCCTGTCTCCTGGGGCCACCTTGGCTATCCTGGAAGGATTAGTGCAGTGGAGGCGCCAGAGAGATCACATGAGCTTAGTGTCCAAAAGGTCCTTTGTCTAGAGCTACGCCGTGAAGCAAGCATGGCGGAAGGACATCCAGATCTCCCAGGAGGTGACTCACCCTGAAGGTGACCCAGCCATGAAGGAAGCCAAGTGTGTGCACGTGTACTGGGTCACTCTGTTGAGACAGAAAGCCCCAGCTCCACCATAGCCTCCTCCCCTCAGCTCTGTCCCCTGTATGAATGGTCAGTTCACTAGAACTGCCCATAGGGGGCACTCTTCACACCGTGTCCTATCCCCTATCCCAAGAGTCGAAGTTCAGAACCAGGGTTCTGTATCTGGAGGAGAGACACTGAGTTCAAATCCTGATCTGTGTAGCCTTGGCTTGTCACTTTAATTCCCTGTGCCTCAGTTTCCTGTACAATCACTAGAAAGCAGGACTAATTCGAGAAGTTGAACATAAGAGTGCAAAGGCATATGGGACTGTGCCTAACCCTTTGTGAGTGTGTGACACCAGCATCACAGGCAACAGCCCAGCTTTGGAATTAGGGTCAACAGGATCTTGGTTGAGTCACAAACTTCCTGCTTTTGCCACTTAGGATCTGTCTGATATCACTTCCCAGAAGCCTCAGTTTCCCAATTGTAAAACCAGGATTTGTAGCATCAGTTTTCCCATTACTGTGATGCAACACCTGAGGAAAATGATTGAAAGGAAGGAACGGTTCTTCTAGCTCAGAGGTCTCAGTCTGTGGCCACCTGGCTCCATTGCTTTTAGGCCTGTGGAATGGTGGAACACCATGGCAGAAGGACATGGAGAAGGAAAGTTGATCCCCCATGCCACCATAGTGCTACCTATCTGGGGATCAAGCTTTAGCATATGAGCCCTATGGAGACATTTCATACTTAATCCACAGCAGCATGGAACCCCCCCTCAGTCTGGGCACTGTGGGATTCAGTCCTTAGTAGGGTGGTAAGCAGACTCCGTCCCTGACTTTGGGGAACTCTCAGTCAAGTGTGAGAATTAGACCAGGTGTCTTGATGTGGACACTAAGCACCCCAATGGTAGGAACAAGGGTTCCAGCCTAACTCCGGGAGAAGATCCAGGAATAGGAAGCCATGTGAAGATCTGACCAGGTTGCTACTCACTCACACATGCCAAGCTCTCTTTCCAGCACCTGACAAGGGCTGACTTCAGCCCTCTGAGGAACTGGGTGAGAACCGTGACTTCCCTGTGTCACAGACAAGCATCTGCTGTGGTCTGGATGTGCTCCCTGTGTGATGGAGCCAGTGGGAGGTGTTGAGTTTGTGGGGACTCCAGCCTCATGCACAGATGAGTACCCCTCTATCAGGCAAGAGGTGAATTCCACAGTGTGGAATTGGTTCCTAAAAAAAGTGTTCTCCCCCGCCCCCACCTCTGTGCGTGTGTGCGTGTGTGTGTGTGTGTGTGTGTGTGTGTGTGTGTGTGTGTGTGTGTGTGTTTGTGTGTGTGTGTTTCCCTCTCCTTTTTCCTCTCCCTCTTCATCTCTTTCCTGTCTTTGGCCTGCTGTCTGGCATTATGGGATGGCACATCCAGAAGAACCCCAGCAGACTTCAGCCCCTCCATCTTGGATGTCCTGTCCTCTAGAATGGCGAGCCAGTAAACTCCCGTCCATTGTGAACCAGCCAGTTTTAGACATCTTGTTGCAGTCCCTCAGCACATATGGGAATATGGGACTGAGACAGAGCTCAAGGCCAGGCATCTGGGCCCCTTTAGCTGCAATAGAAGACTGCCTGGACCACAGAGTGGGAGCTTGGGCGGCTTCCTCCCGTGTGCATTGGGTGATGCCTGGGGGACTAGTAAAACCTACTTTACTAATCTTTTTTTGTTTAGTGATGAATTTGTTTGAGCAATGAACTTGAGGGGAGCTCCATCCCAGATGTGAGCAGCACCGCTATTCCATAGGCTAGAAGCCTAGGGAATAGGACAGGAAGGAGGAGGAAGGAATTCCTGACACACCCCAGTACCATGATATCTGCCTCAGTTGCAGTCCATAGGATGGAGCCAGCCTGTCACAGTCTGAAATCTCCAAAAGCATGAGCCCAAATAAATCCTTTAAACTGTGTCTCCTGGAGAGCTGTCACACTGGTGAATGAAGCTGACCATGCCATGTGTCAAGAGCATTTGGTCGTACTCTCTTGTTCTAGTGACATCCCTGTCTTCTCTTGGGTCAATGGGCATCTCTCCAGGGCAGGGCAAGCCTCACTCAGCCTTGCTTCATGGAGTTTCAGCTCCTTTTCTCCTTGGAAAACTCCTACTCACCCCTCAAAATTCAGCTCATATATCCTTCTAAGAAGTGTCCAAAAGTTAGAGACACAGGTTATGGAGGAGGGAGAGTGGGGAATGAACCACAGGGAGAAGAAGAGTTGGAGAGGCATGACAAGGACCAAAGGCTTCTCAGGCCAGCCAGGTGGAATGGGACACAGCACTCCAAGAACTAGGCCCCAGGTCCCCTTGTCTCTCAATAGTTCCTGCTTAGAATGAGGGCGGTCAATGGAAGCCAAGGCCAATGCTGCTCCTGCATCATTAGGGAATGAACCAGCAGGCAGACACAAGACCAAGGATCAGTTTATTGAAGCTGGGACTGAACCAAGGTGCTGTGTGCTTTGTGAAGCAGACCTGTGGCTGCCCAGCTGTTCCCCACCCTCAAACAAGCAGAGTCACAGGGACAGAGGGCAAGGTGGACCCAGGTGGACAGGGGGCACTTATACTGTCACCAATGCAGGCTAGAGACTGGGAAGAAAACTGAGTGTAGACAGACAGGACTCTGAAGTGGACAGGAAGAGTAGCAGCCATATTGCCTCATGGAGCCACGGTCAGCACAACTGCATTCTGCAAGAATAGGAATTCTCAGTTAGGTCTCCAAGCCCCAGTCCTACATATCTGCTGCCCCTCATGCCTGGCCACCTGCTCTGAGACCCAGCATTAAATGAGGGTTGAGCAGGTGAATGTGTCTGGTGTGGGTCAGGTTGCTGACTCAGACTTAAGTTCAAGGGCCATTTTTACAAATAACATACTGAATAACCTTGACACCCCTTGGTCTTACTCCTCAGCTTAAAAACTGGTACAGAAACCCCTGTTCTGCTCACTTCCTAGAGCTGTCCCAAGATTCAGAAGTAGGCTGATTTGAACAGGTTTGTGGCCAAAAAAAAAAGTGTGTTGAGGGTATCACAATCTATTAGTCATGCCTGCCACAGGCACAAGATGAGAGAAGATCAAAACAAGTATTTGCTATCCGTGAACCAAAGAACTGTGAGTTCTGTGAGTTTATTTGAGGTTCCTTCTTCAGGTCAGACATGTCATAATTCAACAGAATTCGGTGATTGATTGACAATGTCTGCCACAGGCAAGGAAGGAAAAAGTAGAAATACATGTGCTATATATTAGCTATTTCTGAGATAAGCTATATAGAAATGATACAGAGGCAGGTCAGAGGGTGAGGCAGAGCATGCCCCTCAGAGGTGTCAAACATGTCTCTCCAGGCATAAGCTTAAGTGACATCTGGGGCACATCCACAGGGAGGCTCACCTCAATGACGTCTACTGCTGAATTGGCAAAGTTGACATTGAGAATCTTAGGTAGGGGTATCCCAACCTCCAGGTGTTCTGTGAAGAGAAAATGGTTGAAGACAACGATGGGGGTGTCTCAAACCCTGATGATGGACAGACCCTTCTCCCTATGGGAACTCAGCTTCTTGTGGCAAATTCCTATTTACCCTACCATACCCAAACAAAACAAGACAATTCCCATCTTTTCTATGTCCCATTTGTGGTTCCCCTTCAGCCACATCTCCTAGACGCATCAGTCCCTGTACCCTTTGTCAGCTCTAGTTGATACGGCTGCTTCCCACTTGACTGTGAGCACTTAAGCAGGGCCCAGGTGAGGTTAACTCTGGCAGCCCAAAGCAGAGCACGATGGTGTTGGTCACTGCTGCGTGAATGGAAACACTGGCATCTCTCTGGCCTCAGTGCCTTTCTCATCAGTGCAAGGGGGCGAGGAGCAAACCCGTCTCCAGTTCAGCCATACCGTTGAGCCTCTGCACATAGACAGCCCGGACCACATCACTCAGCCATTCTTCTAGACGGGATGCCTGCAACAGAGGATGGTGTGGGTAGGACTTCATGGGAAACGAGAGGCCTGGAAGCCTCCAGCAAGGCTGAAGAAATAGTTTCTGACAGGTAACGGGTCGCCTGAACTGGGCTGTCTACCCAATACCAATTGAGACTCTGCTTAATACAAGCTTCACCCTTAGCCTGGGATCTTAGAACACATTTCATTCTAGAAGATTCTGTGGGTTAGGGTGGGTGTGGCTGACAAAGGGAGAAGGAAATGTGTCCATCTCCAGTACCATAATTCTGACCTTAGAATTTAGATAGTTTGGGAGCCTTCAGAAAATTCTAGAATCTAAGGCTGTCCCTGAGATTTCAGAACCTCAGAAGTCTCTGAGAATCAGGAGCCTCAGGGCTCTGTGGGGCTCTGAAATGCTAGAACTTTCTGGGCTCAGGACTTTGCGTGAAGTTCCAGATCTTTGGACCTTGTGAGCCTTTAGACGTTTACAAATGAGGATCCAAGACCTTGGAAGAACACGGGATTGGCTTGGCTTTCCTAAGATGATCAGTGCCACTTTTACATACATACACACACACACACACACACACACACACACACACAGGTGCACAAGCAAACACAAAGCATGAACACTAGCACACTCCCTCTGTTTTTCTGCTCTGATCTGTTGGAGCTGGGCCCATACAGAGGCAGCCATGACCTTGACTCAGCCCCCACTCCCCACCCAAATGTTCTGCCCTCTGCCAAGCTCCTTCTTCCCAGGAACTTACGTCAAAAGGTTGGGGAAAGGAGGAGGCCAGCTGGACACTCAGCCTGACAGAGAGAAAAGAAATATTGAGAGGTCCTAGCAGCTCCTCACATCCTGCTGAGAGCTGTTCATCTAGCTTACCCTGGCCCACGCCAGTCATGGCTTTCCAGGGACAAGGAACAGGACTCAGGCCTAGTTTATCTCTCTCCAGCCTCGGCCCAGGGTCTCTGTCTTCCTCCTTGTGAAATGGCCTGGGAGGCCCTTACTTCCCTTCTGAGACCTCCCAGCAGGTACCCATCTGCCTGTGTGTATGAGTGGCCTTTCCCTAGCCTGACACTGCACATGGACCAGTCCACATCCAGCAGGTGCTCACTAATAGCAGTGTGTACCAGGTGACCCAAGTGCAGTTCAGGGCAAGTCTAGACCTCCGTCTTCTCTTCTGAAGTGCTGTGGCATGAACTGCCACTAAGAGGCAGAGATGAGCGGGCAGCAGACCTGGTGGAGGAGGGCAGCAATGGAACCACAGGGAAGTTGTGGGTACCAAAGCAGGGAGATGTAATACTGGGTGCTGTGGCTCAGGACGGGCAAGTCTCAAAGACATCTGGGAAATCCTCTACCACTGAGACAGGGGCCAGACAGACTTCGTAGCCAGAGCACCAGCTGGAGAGGGAGGCCTAGATCACAGGTTCATTGCTTGAGTCTATGTTACAGTCTACTTTACAAACTGTAAAGTGCTGTGCTGGGAAGTGTGTGAAAGCATGAAGAGAATGATCTTCGGCCTTCATCTTAGCTGTTTGGATTCTCTGGATATCCAGTTAACAAGGGGAATCTAAGGAAGGAGTCCATACGAGGCAGAAGCATCTGGGGCTCCTGTCCCTGTGGTCAGCCTCAGGCTGATGGCACAGGGTGCAGCCTCCACGTCCTGGGGCAGGCTCACTGTAAGGAGCAATCTCTGAGCATAGGGAGCAGTGACGGGGCTAATCAGAGCCACCTCCTCTGAGCCCCACTGCCTCATCTGTAGAGACCACCACATCCCCTTCCTGTGGGGCTTAAGGTGAGACAAATCCACTAAACACCCAGCTCAGTGTTGTGAACCAATACCAGTGTTGTGAACCAAAGTGAGCCCCTATGTTAGCCAGTTCCTGATTCTTGTGTCTAGAGGGAGGGACAAGGCCACCCTAGGACCCCACATTACCGTTCCAGGGACAGGGATATGTGCAGCTTGGTAGTGGATGGAGCCAGCTGGGCATTTAGAGTCATAACCTGGGGAGAAGAGAGGGTAGATGTTTTCCCTGACTCTGCAAGGCATAGGAACAGTAGCCTGGGTGCCAGGAGAACCTCTGGCCATTCCTGCCATGGGTTGCTCGGGTCTTACTGTGTGGCAGGAGCTGTGGGAGTTCTTGGCTGCAGACCTTGGAGAGACCCCCTGTTTAACCCATGGGGGAGCTAGAGGCTTCCTAGGGCACTTGAGCTATCCTAGAAAGATAGCAGAGGAGACAAGCAGGGCAGGTGGAGCACAAGGCATGCGGGACCAGCAGGCTGAGGCAGGCAACAGGTTCAGCTGAGCAGAGGCAGGCCACTGGGGAGCAACTCCCAGGACTCAAGGAAACAGTGTGGGCCCACTGGGCCAGAGAAGAATTAGGGGCTGGTGGAAGCTGACTAAACAGCTAGGTTTAGTTCAGAGATCATATGGGGGACCTAGCTGTGCCACATGAGGCTTCCCACCCTCCTCTCAACCACTTACCCCATTCAACTGGAAGAGGGCTACAGGACTTCCTTGAGGGACAGAAGACAGCACATGGATGGTCGCTGGGATGGAGACCGAGGCCTTCTTGCTCTTCAGCACGACCATGGGTGCTTTTGTCACCCGTATGGAGAGCAGGAGGTGCTGACCAGGGGGCAGCTTCCCCAGGGCCTGGGAGAGATGAGAAGAGAAGAGCAGGCATGAAGACAGCTTAGATGCCCAGTATTAGAAACAGACAGTCAGACAGCCGACAGACGGACACACTGGCCGTCTACTAGGTAAGAGGCGCCATGCTTGGCATCAAGGTTACAGCCTGGCCCAGGCTAGCAGGCACCTGGCCTCATCAAGGTGGCAAGCCTCTAACCCGTGGGGCCACCAGATCAGACTTCCTGCACAGGCAAAAGCTTCCCTAAGCAAGCTGGGCGTGGGGGCACACATCACAACTCCCAGCACAAAAGGATCAAGACTGAAAGCTAGCCTTGGCGAAATAACAAGTTCAAGGGTCAAAAATAAAACAACAAACACAAACCGCTGCAACCCGAGGGCCCTCCCAGCTGTCTTTGCCACCCAACCTGCCTCCTGCCCTCAAGAGGGTCTCCTGAATATCCAGTCCCAGGCCCCTCCTCTCCTGAGACTCCTCTGCCCTTCAGCTTTGATGCAAGGCTGAGAGATGCAAGTCCCCTCTCGCTCCCTGAGGCCGCCTGAAGCCATCCCCTTCATGGACTCACAGACCGTGTCCTTCACACCCAGTGCAGCAGCCACCTGCATCCTCTGTCCCTCTGTCCAACTCCCCTCAGACTCTGCCGCCACTCTAAGATCCCTAAGGTAATAGTAGTCATCACAACATCAGCATGATTTCTGATTCTCCCAGCTGGAAAGTGGTGGGTCCAGTCCCAGATGAATTATGGGGAAGCTGGACCCTAAGATCTTGTACTAATCACTATCCCCATCCATGACTCTTCTCCTCTCTCTTCTCCAGGACAGAGAAGAGCAAGAGCAGGGGACATCTTCAGGTCTGGGGGACCCTTGAGGGTGAATCTTGTGATTCCCAGCATTGATAATTCGGTAACTTGGGAATCTGAGCTTGGGACACTGGCCTTCAGATTCCAGCATGTGGGTGTTCTGGGGTGGGGGCATGACTCTGTTCTAAACTGCTGTGTTATTCTGATTTCCATCACTTCTCAAAAGCCAGGTGTCACTGGGACACACAGAATGCTCTAATTGAGTGCTTCCTTCTACTGAGTGTCCACCGAGGAAGGACCACAGCAGTGGCCTGGGAAGACTCTCCTGTCCTCTGCCTGCAGGAGTGCCTGTGACCACCAAACTCAGGTGGCTTCTGGGACACTCTGGTTCTTTCCTCAGTCAGTTGTGCTATCAGGAAAGAATATGATTGTTAGCACTCCACACTTTAGTATGAATTTGGACTCAGTATTAATCATGGGTGTCTAGAGAGATGCCCTGGGGAAGACTCTGGAGTCCATTCAGGTTCATGGGGAAAGAGCCACGCTGATGGAACCCCTAAGAGGGCCACATACCTCAGGGGCCAAAGCTGCCAGGTCGGTCGTTGTCAGCGGGATATTTCTGGGAACCTGGACATGAGAGCAAACAAGAGGTTGGTGGAGAAGGAAGGAATCCCCGTGCATGTGCGTAAGACAGGAATATGTCCCTCCCACCTTGCCTCGCCACAGACATTCCCACCTATTAGTGATGACTGACCCTGTACCAGGTGCCAGATGGTGTAGAGCGCTCTTCCCAGCTTCCCTTGCACTGCCCACACAGCAGTTCAGCAGCTGAGCTAACACTACCCTCACTTTACACAAAGGATGCTAAAGCTCTGCCCAGGGTCTATCCTTGGCTAACGGCAGACCAGGATGTGCAGGATATGCAACTGAGCTGCCTGTTATCAGACCCCTCTCATTGCTGCCAGACCCTAGCAGAAAGTACAGGTTTGGCCCCAGGTATTCTTGTCCATCACCCCAGTGATCACTCATGAATATGACCATTTCCAGTCTTTATACGTCAGGGGGTTCAGATAAGATTTCCAGCTCTACCTGAAATGTTAGGAAGTGTGATCACACTGGGCCCTTGGGGTAGCTAGGTAGTAGTGGTCACCATGGTCCTATCAGATTGCTAAGCAATAGTGACCCCACATAAACCACCTATAAGAACAGATCTGTCACCAGCACTCAGGAGGCAGAGCCAGGCGGATCTCTGTGAGTTCGAGGCCAGCCTAGTCTACAGAGCAAGATCCAGGAAAGGCACCAAAACTACACGGAGAAACCTTGTCTCAGAAAAAGAAAAAAAAAAAAAAAAAAGATCTGTCCACACTCTGACCCCAGGGCTCCAGGAGCACTCTCGGGCTCAGCCAACACACCATGATGGTGACAGCATAAGGTGTGTTCTGGCATGACGTCTCATCAAAGAGCTCACAGCCCCAGTCATAAGTCATCCGATGACACACGTTACGGAATATCCTTTACATTGTGTGAAGATGTGTCACTGTGATTGGTTAAATAAAGAGCTGAATGGTCGATAGCTAGGTAGGAAGAAGTTAGGCAGGATTTCTGGGGACAAAGAGGATTCAGAGAGGAAGAAAGTTGGGGTCACTAACCAGATGTGGAAAAAGCAGCATGAGCAGTACAGAAATATGAGGTAACAAGTCACGTGACAGAATGTAGATTAAAGTAAATGAGTTCATGTAAGTAATAAGAGCTAGTGGGACAAGCCTAAGGTAAGGCCGAGCTTTCATAATTAATTATAAGTCTCCATGTTGTTATTTGGGAGCTGGTGGTACAGAAAAAGACTTGCTACATATGACACCCAGTATGTGGCACCATATATATCGAGTCTTTCTCTGTTCTGCCAGGCCCCAAATAATGACATGGATTTCATATTAATTATGAAAGCTCGGCCTATAGCTTAGGCTTGTTTCTAACTATCTCGTATATCTTAAATTAACCCATATTTTTCATCTACATTCTAACATGTGGCTTTTTACCCTTCTTTCATTCTGTACCTCCAACTTGTCTTACATCTCCTGGTGTCTCCTTGATTCCTCTCCCTCTCTCTTTCTCTGTCAGGAAGTCCCACCTATACCTCCTGCCTAGCTATTAACCATTCAGCTCTTTATTAAACCAATCAGAAGGCACCCTGGCAAAAATACATCTTTACAATGTAAACAAATATTCCACAACAGACACATTTCCCTCCTTTAGACTCTGCCTTATGCTCAGCTAAAGACTCCTAGAGACCCCTTCCCACCCTGCATGAGGTGACAGGCCAACCCTCTTGCCTTAAGCCTAAGCTGTATGTGAGGCCTCCCCATAGCTCAGAGATCACTCTTCTAGGTAAGCTGAGACCAAGAAAATGCCTCTTGTGGGGCTTCTAAAGGTCAGGCCTTTTAAACCACTGGAACAGAAGCAAGGAAGTCCCAGAAGCTCCAGAACAAAAGTGAAAGTGACCTTAGGCAGAGTCTAACCCTAGCTTTTTTTTTTCCCTCCAACTCAAATCTACTCTTAAGAAAGTAGACGAGATGTTAGCCATTCCTACATTCGTGTAAAATAGCTTACACTCAAGAAAGGTTCATTGGTGCAAGGACAGGAGGAAAGCTGCCTTCACTCTATGCCAGTTCTGGCTGTAGGGGGTGGCTTTCTGGAGGGTTGAGTTTAGAAGGCTTCAGACGTGAAGGTATGAAGGATTGTTGACATCCTCCTCTAGGACAGGGTGGACAACAGCGTGTGTGCTCTACACACACCCAGCCCTCACTTACAGAGAACAGGCTAAGCAAGGCTGTGAGTGACTATGGGGAAACTCAGCGCCAGCTCTGCCAAGGCCGGGGAGCAGGTGTCCCTCCCCAGCATCGCCGGATCCCACTCACCACCTCAGGGGTTATGTCGAGGTCGAGGGCACCGTTGGTCTGCAGGAGCCCAAACACGGTGCTGAAGAGGTAGAGTGGGACAGTCACTTGGGAGGTGTGGTCCTCCTTGGGGGGCACCTTGACTGGGAGGCGTGGCTTGGGGAAATCAATGACATCACCAGTTACGCTCTTCACGATGGGCTGCAGGGCAGAAGACAGCAGAGACAGGGGGGTCCGTGACGGCTCAGCCTCCTGGCCTTGCCCGGGATCCCCATCCACCTTGTGGCTCCCTCACTGATCCTGCTGAATTGGTCTTGAGACACTCACGTTCACGTCCAGTTCAATGTACTGGTTGGAGATGAGGGGCAGTGTAGCCAGAGTGAACTCCACAGACCCCAGAGGCCCAAGGGGCACCAGGCCTGCAGGAGAGAGGGCAGACAGGACAACCTCAACCCAGCTGCCAGGAACTGTCATTTACTGAGCACCTGCTGCATACTTACCTTTAACCCAGAACTCATTGGGGTGCTGCTGTCACCCCATCTCACCTAGCTAGCGGAGGGCCACAGACCGAGACCACACAGTGACAAAACCTGTGCTCCTGTTTTTAGGCCTGCTGTGGCTGACCCATGCCTACCTGACGGAGGTGTGGCCAGAGCACCATCCTGCCCTGACCTTCTCATACTTCCCCAAGTACAGAGGTCTCCACAAAGCAGAGAGATGGAGTCACTGGGCTGCATGGCCGTGGCTGCCTGGCTGAAGCCTCTGGGCCTGTGGCTTCCATCTCCACAGAGAAGCTTTGCCTCCTGTTTCAGCCCCAAGTTCTCAGTGGCTGTCTATCTGCAGACCCTGGGTGCTCAGTGAGTGTCTGTCTGCCTCTCTGCAGACCCTGGGTGCTCAGTGAGTGTCTGTCTGTCTGCAGACCCTGGGTGCTCAGTGAGTGTCTGTTTGTCTGTCTGCAGACCCTGGGTGCTCAGCAAGTGTCTGTTTGTCTGTCTGCAGACCCTGGGTGCTCAGTGAGTGTCTGCCTGTCTGCAGACCCTGGGTGCTCAGTGAGTGTCTGTCTGTCTGTCTGCAGACCCTGGGTGCTCAGCAAGTGTCTGTTTGTCTGTCTGCAGACCCTGGGTGCTCAGTGAGTGTCTGCCTGTCTGCAGACCCTGGGTGCTCAGTGAGTGTCTGTCTGCCTGTCTGCAGACCCTGGGTGCTCAGTGAGTGTCTGTCTGTCTGCAGCAGCCAGCAGGTGGAGATCTCAGATGTGGCTGCTCTGAGGCTCTGCACCCTGTGCCAGCTGGGCTCCTCCCTAGACATGCTCCTTAGTACCCCTTCCTAGGTCTCCACCCTAGGGTTTCCAGAGATTGCCCCAAAGTGGAGTGGACAGTCTGAGGAGGAAGAGTCCCCTCTCCCCTCACTTCCCTCCATGGCCACCTGCTCAATGGTGAGAGAAGGATCACAGGGAAGGGACAGGGCCCCTACTTACTCAGCGTAGCCCCCAAGAGTTCGTTCACCACACTTAGCACGCTGTCTACCACAGGGCACAGCTGTACAGGAGGAGACGGAGGTCACTGGAGAGATAAGGGTGTACCCTGCTTGGGGCAGGAGACAGCCGCCTCTCTCCAAAACGGCTGGTTCTGTGGTGCTGAGGCTCAAAGCAGAGTGTGGGGACAGGCTGGGGACGGAGGGCACAGCGCACACGGGCACCCCATTTCACATCTCTGTTACATGAACCCCATTAGGAAGTGCTAAAGGCTGTTGGGGGGTGTGCGGTAGAGATTACAGAGATCACTGAAGCAAGGGCACAATAGCTGTTCTTCCCTCTACAGTCGCAGGTCTGTCCTGCCACTCCAGAAGACCTGTGGTCAGAAGTCCCAAGGTACCTCATCTTCCCTGTCATCCAAAAAACCCATCACACTCTGCCCTGCACTCACTGGACCCTGTGCTGTGAGTGCACCAAGCAGGCACTTGGCCCACCCAAGTGAGACTCCAGCCCAGCACCTCAGTCTACAGTTGGGGTCGGAGATGAAGGGCTGGCTGCCTGCCAAGGTCACAGTATCGGCAGACACATATGACAGGGTGAGACAAGACTGGTGCCCCAAGTTCCAGCTCAGCACGGGAGGAGGTGGGGGGGAGTGGCTGCAGGCAGGCAGCTGGTGTAACCTGCAGCCCTGGGCAGCCCAGGAGGAGCACCAGACAGAGAAGCCACAGCACAACCCCACCCAGAGTAACAGCCAAGGACTCTGGCGAAAGCGCTTCCAGCACACAGCCCCAGAGCCCGGGATGAGCCTCCTTGGGTCCACCTGAGATGTCCTCTCCCTTCCCATGGCCTCACTGCTTCCTTCAGTCCAGAGTAGACTATCCATCCACTTCCACCCACACAGTTCTCCTCACATATCTTAGGGATGCCAGCTAACTGCCCTTGGCAGCCCGGGGTGGGTGGGAGGGGAGTGGCGGGGGGGGGGGGGAGAGGGGCGCGGGCGCAAACTCACCAGTCCGGGCAGCACTTTGCACAGTGTCTGTTCTACGAGCCCAAAGATCGGTGTGGGCAGCAGCCTGGGTGGAGGAGACGTGAAGGTGGACAGCAGGCCAGGTGGACGGCAGGCCAGGTGGACCAGTGGCTCTGCCTTTCTCCTGTCTCTTCCTTTGGTGAGGTTCCAGGGGCTTTGGGGACCTGTATTTAAGCCCTGGCTCTGCCTTCCTATGGTCCACCCATGGCTTTAGCTTCCCTGGCTAGACAGCCTCACCCTATCCTGTGTCACTGCCAGATTAGAGAGGGACCACACATGCCTACTATGCAGCCTGTGCTCCGGAAGTGTCCGACCACCCCCACCCCCATCCCCCGCTGTCCCACCCAACAGTTGTAGGCAAGGGTCATTTGCATGTGCAGCAATGTCTGGCTTAGCATGGGGCTCAATAAACAATGAATGAATAAATGAATGGGTTGATAGCCTGAGGATAAGCGATATTGGTTGGGCTCAGACCTGTCTGGAGACCATGGGGATACAGGTCAGACGAGCACAAAGCCACATTCCCAGACAGCAGCAGTACCCTGGGCTTACTACCCAAAGACCATCAGAACAGACACTGGAATTTAAGAAGCCCAAAGGCCCCATCCCTGTTAAAGCCTTTACAGAGGACCTCCATCCTTTACTGGCGCTAACACCAAGCCAGCAAGGTCGGGGAGCTGGGGCTTGGCCTAGGATGAAGACAGTGCCAGGGAGACAGAGGAGGAGTGAGCCAGGGGAGGACAGCGCAGCGTCAGAGACCAGCTTCTGTGCCTGCCTCGTCTGCGTCTGAGACCTTGGGAAGACCTTTTGCCCTGCAGGGGCTCTGCTCTCTCCCTAGAGTGAGGCTGGTCACGAGTCTGGGCAGGTGGATGTGAAGGTGTGTGCCGACGCACACAGAAGGAGACACAGAGGCCCTGACCTGGAGCAATGGTCCCAGAATCACACAAGTCAGAGGCAAAGCTGAGGCTCCTACATGCTGAGAGCAGGGACAGAGAGATTCTGGGAGATAGGGAGCCCTGAGCAGGACCCTAGAGACAGGAGAAGGACGTCACTCTGGAGTAGGTGTGTTGTGAGCTACGGCTTGGTTTTCATGCCTGGGACAAAGCCTGGGGCTGCAGGGCAGCATGACATTCTCAGGCAGAGCTGGGAGACAGGCTGGATGTGAACAAGCTGGTCCCAAGCCAGAGACTCACCCTGACGTCAGACTGATGCGGCCCAGGAGTGTGTTGCAGCGCTTAAGGACCAGAATGGGTGTCCCCCGTGGGCTTATGCCCAGGGCCACCTTCGAGGACACATTCACTTCGGCTGCCAGCTGCAAGAGGCCCACCAGGGGACTGCAAGACCCCCAAAATGAATATGGCCTGCCTCCCAGGCCTTCCCCATCTCACCACGCCCAGGCCATGCCCACTCCATCCTTGGGCCTGGATGGCAGGGGGCCTGGCCCCCAAGCATCTGCACCCCCCTCTTCCCCACCTCAGGCAGTGGAGGAGAGCCTGAGAAATGCCACGGAAGTCTGGGGATCATCAATGAGGTGGGGTTCTCTGAGGGAATGGAATAGAGTGGGGCCCAAGAGAAACAGAATGGGAGTCCCTTGGGAAGGAAGCAGGGTAGGGAAAATGGGGGAGGCAATGGATGGGGGCTCCCAGAAGCACACTCACCCGGAGCCATGCAGGCTGACCTTGGTGTGCAGGGTCAGCTGCACCCCGAACCCTGCCAGCAGCTTGATTGACACTTTGGGCAGAGTAAGTTCCTCTATCCTCAGCCTGGAGAAGGGGTGGAGTAGGTTGCTCACTCCTACATACGCTGGGGCCTGGGCGGACCCTGACCAGCAGATTCCCGGTATGGTCCAGGCTGAGCCATGTAACCCCAGCATCACAGTTGGAGGCCCTGTCCTATCTGGCAGCCTCCTCAGCCCTAATTAGGTCTCTACCTGTGACGTTGGGCACCACCCAGAGAACACCCTACAAGGGATTTCTTATTATCCTTCCAGCTCATTCTCACTGTTCCTGCCTGGAGCTCCCATTCCTGACACCCTTTAACTTGGCACTCTCCTCCAGCTGGCTGAGTCCTCCTGGGTTTCCTGATTTCAGACAGACATCCCCTCCTCCAGGAAGTCCTCCTTCCTGGTTCTCAGCCTGTAGTTTACAGCCCTGTCATATCAGGCTTTGGCACATTCTACAGCTCCTTGAAGCAAGGACGACATGAGGCTCATTCAGCCAGGGAGGTATGGAGAGATGTGGAATCTAGTAATAGTGATAGCGTTTTTTGAGTGCTCACTGACTACATGGTTCTCTTTGGCCTGCTGCATACATATTAACGCTGTCCCGATATCGTGATATCCAACCAGGACACTTCACACCCCTGCTCTGTGGCTACCTCACTGTGACTAGGAAAACATCACACTGCTCTGTGTCTCAACGTCCACATGTGTAAAACCCAGACACTGACAAGGTCTACCTCAGAGTGACTCAACGAAGCTGAGCGGTCTCAGCCGTCACCAGCCGCCCTCGGAGATGTGGGTGCTATGTGGGGGCCAGGCCCCCATCTCCTCTGTCATCACAAGCCTATGCTCCTCAACCGACTAGATGCCCTGATTCGCTCCGGCCATGACCAAGCGCGTGGGCTGCAGTCCTACACACACATGGTCCCCTCCACCACCGAGTGAGCACAGCGAGGACCTTCCCTGTGTGGCTTCCACCCACTCACCTGCGGAGGGAGTTGACACGTGTCTCATCTCTGCATTTGGTAGACCAACTTACCAGCAGTGCTTAGGGTCACCTAGAAACCCCTGTTGGTGACTGCTCTGCTCAAAGTATTAGCCACTTGCTCATGTCTTTCATTCTAAACTTATCACAAAGCCCTGTTTATGCAATGAGGGCATTCCAGGGAACAGCTCCGATGAGAATTCTTCCCCTCCTCGGTTTTATAATCTACTGTGGTGACAAACCAGTAAAATGTGTGGTGTGTACAGAGTGAGCGTCCCCTGGAGACCCTGAAGTGTGGAGGGGCTGAGGAGGAGCTCGGCAGGGCCAGAGTCTTCTGAACAGACACCCAAAAGAGATGAAGGAAGGAGCCAGACAGACACCTGGGTTAGCCCAGAGAAACCAAGCAACCTTCCCCGGGTCACACAGCAAGCCACTGCAATTGTCTCCACCCACACCTGAGCGACAGTGGCGTGAGGCTCTGCGTGCCCTGCCAGGCTCACAGTTATTTTCTCCCCCACCTTCCTGCACCACCCTCACTGCCTACCAGTGATCACAGCCCCTCTTCCCAGTGGCAGGTGGGGACAAGCCTTCCTGCAGAGCCCCTCAGAGCCCTGAGGCCTCACCCAGAGAGTTCCTCCACAAGACTGAAGATGCCCCCGTAGCTCAGCAGGCCGCCGCCTCCAAGCAACCCTCCTGCGCCCAGGAGGCCCTGGTTCACCGATGTCACTGTTCCCAGCACATTTTGTAGAATAGGACCCCCAACCAGTGAGTTCTGGATGGCTACAGAGAAGGAGGGAAGGAGAAGATTCAATAAACTCTTCCTCCACCCTGAGGACCAGGACCAAAGCCTCTGCCCTTTCCTCTGAGCTTCAGGAGCTGTTTCCACTAGGATTGACATGTCACATTCAAGAGGCGGGAGCTCCTCCCACTGGCCCCACTTATGGTACCCAGGGAAATAATGATCACGCCCCCCTGACAATCCCTGCATCTAAAGACAGACAAAAGACCAGAAAGGGGCAGACACTGCTTAGTGTCAGAGCAAACACAATGTGAGGCCCTGAGTCAAACTCAGGCTCCAAATCCCAGTGCTATCCTGCAGCGGGAATGGAGAGTGGATCGAGGGATTTGATGGCAGTGCAGGAGCAACCCCAACCTTGAGGTCCACAGCCTGACTCTGTGACTGTGGGCAGGGTGAAGGGGCCCCACTGTGGGTAGCCCTGCACTGTCCCTGAGATGATCACACCCAATACAAGAGGTGGGGATACGACACAACAAGTCCCTTGTCCATGCCTGTCACTAGCCCCAGGCAGCTCTACACAGCCCAGTTCTCTGCTCCAGGAAGAGGCATCTTGGTCACTGGAGGAGCTGGAGAGCAAGCCCAAGCCAGAGTGTGGTGCCGGCTCCTCCAGGGAGCTCACAGAATACAGCAGAATATGTCAGCTGAGCACTGAGAGCCTCGGCTCGAATAGCTGTCTGTGATGCCAACAGTCACGATCGGATCCCTCCCAGTCTGCCCACCTGCCCTTGGCTCACCTTTGCCCAGTTCATCTTTGTCAATCCGAGCAAGTGTGCCCACTGTCTCAAGCAGCCCCAGGCTCGGAGTGGCCAGGCCCCAGAGCAGAAGCAGGGTGTACACACCCAGCATCATCAGCTGCACACCTGTGGGGGAGGGGGGAGACTTTTCCAGGTCTGCACACCCAGCCTGACCCCTCCTGCTCTCCATCACTGTCACTGCTGCTCTGGAGCCCTCTTTCCTTCCTGGATAGCCAGGTGTGGCTTTACTCCTGCCCTATCCAGCCACCGCATAGGGGAAGCATCGCATTGCCCAGCACAGCTTCCAACGCCTGCATGGGATCCCTTTTTGCAGGTGGGAAAACTGAGGCCCAGAAACTGGAGGGAACTCAACCAAGAGCTAACCACCAGTAGGACCAACATTGTACTCTGAATCCACGTGACTTAATAGTTGTCATGTGGCTCTGTAAGCCCGGCAGGGTCTGGGGTAAATGCTTCAGTGAGACCCTCCTTGACAGCAGGGAGGGAGCTGTGGCTCCAGATTGCTTCCTTGTGGGCTGCCAATGCCGTTTCAGGACTAGCTGGTCAGAGACACACAGCACTCAGTCTAAAATATCCCTCCTCTCCACCTCTATGCCCGTTGTCACTGACGTGGAAAACAGGGTGAAGGCAGAGCGTAAAGAGCTGGTTATAACTATAAATCCACAGAGCTGATTTCCCTTTAGGTGTGTCTCCATCTATTCCCTCACACTAGATACCCCTCAGTGGCTCCCGCTACCCCAGGGATGAGGCCCAGGGCTCCTCACTATTACTCACAAATCTCTTTAGCCACCTTGGTTCTAGTGTACTAAATCCTGCCCCACCCCAGGGCCTTTGCACATGTTATTCCCGTTGCTAGGAGGTCTCCGTGTCACTTCATGGCTGACTCCTAGTCTGTCAGATTTGCTGTCTTCTCCTCTCCTTGCCCTGTCTGGAGAATCCTACCAATGACTGGGATATTTATTTTGAGGTACTTCTCACAAGTTACATTTACTCAAATGTGTCCCTATGCTTGCTGGCCGACTCTGTAAGCTACAGGAAGGAGGAGACTGTGTCTTGGGCCTCCGTGCAGCTCTCACATGGGCTGGAAGGGCACCTGTCATGGGTAAGGGTAGGATCCAGCAGCTCTTCACTCACCAAGTTGCAGGTTCTAGTACAGACTGAGTCAACCCAGACCTTCTCCTTGGCACAAAGGTGCCCAATAGGTACCACATGACCGAGCAACAAACTTGACTGTACATCCTGTTTACTAAGATGTGACCCTGAGTGGCCTTGCCACCCTAGGGTCTCTCATAGGAAAAACTACCAGGATGGTAGGAAGGCAGTCAAATCCCATGATTTAGAGAAAGAGGCTGGCCTGGAACTCTGTCGTGGGTGATTTGGGCCCTAACTCACCCAACCCTGCCATGGCGTTATATAGCAAGGACTACAGATCCATAAGATGGGGGATTCCCTCCTCTTGCCTTTCAGATGCTCCCAAGCCCCTCTTCCCACTGAGAGTGATTCATTCTGTACCCACTATTCAGATGAGACAGTAAGAGTCACTAGGTCTGTGAAGGGGGTTAGGATGGAGCCAGGCCACCTGGAGCCACCTGGGACCACCTAGGGCCACCTAGGGCCACATGGGGCCACCTTACCAGCCTGTTCCTCCTGCTCTGCAGGTGGGTTCCCACCTCCTGTCAGCTGCTCCACACCTGAGCCCAGGGGCAGCCCTTATATATCTGCAGCAGCTCGCGGACACAAAGGGGGCACAGCCGCCAGAAACCCGTCATATGTCATGTCAGGAGCAAATTGTGGTTTTCCCGGAGGGCCCGAACTAAGCCTTCCTTCTGTGGGGAGAGCCGGGGCTGGGGTCTGTGCCCAGGGGCGGGATGAAATGCATAGGGGCCACAGTGGCCAGCTCCTCTCCCAGCTAGGGTGGGTGGGTTCTCTGGCAGCCCCATAGAGTTCTCTTCAGGTCCCTCACAGCCACCCCAATGGCACAGGGTCCACCCTGCCTCCTTTGCCCACCCTTAAAATGGCCCAGAGGGAAGGAAGCTGCCTTAAAGCAACTGGACCCTCCTGATCTCTAATCCAGCCACAGGCCTAACATGGAGAAATCCAGGCCTGGGAAAAGGGACTAGGGCCTATTTGGGAAAGGGTCACCAACTCCAACCACCGCCACGGCTTGGGACCCCCAGGACTCCAGAGCAGGCAGTTTCAGGAGAATGGTGCAGAGACATTCATTCATTCAATCAGTCTTTCTACAGCAGGCACTTTGTGGGGTGCCTACTGTTTCCCTCATGTGGGGTGTCCCTATGAACAGAAGAGCAACGTTGTTCCCAGGGGCTGGCACACCCTTTGACATTTCAGAGGCCGTGAATTAAAAGTGACAGAGGATGATAAAATTAATCTTCGTAGTGTGATTGATTTAACCACACACAGATAGCCAGCATGTTCCCATTTAATGTGTCCATAGCAGAACACTGAGGATGAGCAGCTTTCTCTCCTTTCCAAGCAGTGGCAGCCTGTGAGCACATAGCTCTGAAGGGAAGACACACACACCACACCACACACACACACACACACACACACACACACACACACACACACACACACACAGTCAGCAGCCAGAGACAGAAATAAAATAAGAAGATAAGTGGTGTTGGAGGTACTGAGTATGGTAGTCAGATATCCAAATGGAAGAGGGACCAGCTTGACCCGAAGAGGAAGTGGGAGGGAGTATGATGGGTACTTGGGAAGGAAGAGCAGTACCAAGCCCCAGGGTGGCTGCCGCATGGCAGCAGGGAGGCCAGTGGGAGTCATGGAGGTGTGGCCAGCAGGCTACAGTGTGCACCCAAGAGCTGTGGCTGCTTTGTTTTCTTTTGTTTTGTTTCAATCATTTTTTGAGACAGGATCTTTCCGTGGCCCAGGCTGGCATGGAACTTGTGACCAGCCTGCCTCAGCCTACCCAGTGTCTGGATTACAGGTGTAAGTCACATGGCTAGCTGGCTTTGGTGTTCATGTGCACTAGTTCTGTAGGTGTCTGTCCCAGCGTCCCCTCCTCCAAGAAGTCTTCTGGAACTCTACACTGAGTGAGGCGCCACCTCTGAGCTCAGCTCTGTCCCCTGGGCCTTCCTGACAGCCTGTGACAGCACAGGTGGCCATCATATGTGTGGTGTCTCCTTCAGGGCCTTGCAGGGAGATGAGGAAGAGTAGTGGCACTAACCTGGTTGCTCACAGCAATGCTGAAACAGGGACCCACCTTCTTCCTGAGGCAGGGTTGGCCTTTTCCTCCACCACAGCTCTCTGAACAGGAAGGATCTTGAAATATGAGACCTGAGCAGAAAGGGACCCTGGGTTCCAAGTGTGTAGCTTGATCGACTTTTAAACTGGGTGCTCCCAAAGCCCCCTAACATCCCCTCCAAATCATGGCCCACCAAAGTGGACCGCTGTCCTGACACAGTGGTTGGGGTGTAGAGTACAATGATGTGTATGTCCTTCTGTGCGCTCCCTCCTCCTGAACACTCCATGGCCACATAACTGCTGCACGTGGCCACATGAGGAGCAGTGTTCCTCTGCCGGGGGCTACCCCACACATGGATGCTCCATGGTTCAGTTGCTTTTACCATCTTCTGTCTGGAAGCACTGGGGCCTTCTGGCAGTTGGTTATTATGAATGAATGAATGAAGCGACACTGTACATTTTTGTCACATCTTTCTATGAACGTGTGTGTACTTACAGTTTCCATGTCTTGAGTGAACAGTTGGTGAAGGAGGAAGAAGGAACAGCACCTCCCCCGTTTATCCAGCACTGACCGTGCACACAGCCTCTGCGTGTGTAACCACATCTGGTGCCATCCTGACCCAGTGGGCTTCGTTATCATTTCCTACTCCCCCGGGAGCCGAGGCCAGGCCAAAGGGAAGCAGCTGGCCCAAGACCATCACGGCCCAGCCTCAGCCTCCAAGTCACTGGCCACCCAATGAATCCATAGACATGAAGGAACGTGAGGGGTCCAGGGAACCTCAGAGAAGGACGCAGGCACTATTGCCTTGCAGGACCCTCGTTCGCCATGTCACGATTGCTGTGAATCTAAGGCCAACCTGGGCTATCTATAGAAACCTTGTCTCAAAAAGCTACCAGGAGAAAAAAAAAATAGCAACACTCCAGAGCTCTCTCCCTCCACACTGACCCTTCTGACCTGGAAGGTCTTGGAAGTCTCTTGGAAGGCAGGAAAATGCTACTGCTTCCTGCCTTGCTTTCTCTCTTTTTCCTCCAGGTCCACTCACCCCCACCATCACCACCCCAAGGTCTCCATCCCTACTTGCAGCGCAGGCATTCCCTACCACCTCATGCAGGATCAGGGAGTGGGCCTGTCCATGGAGGAGACTCATTAAAATGCTGTCTCAGGGTCCTACTTTTCACAGACCCCACCCACCAGGCTGAGGGCAGGGGGTTCTGGCCTACATGTTTAGGAAGGTGATGTGCAGGCCTGGTGGTGGTTATGGGAACTATGGAAGGGATCAGGGCAGAGGAGGCAAAAGACCCCGCCACCACCACCACCCAGGCAATGACACCTGTTCATTCCTAGGGTTTGTCCTTAATGGCTGACGTGCCTTGTAGAGCGATTTTCACCATCCGCGGTGGGTTCATCTCCTGTGACTGCTCCTACTGCAGACTGTTGCTGGACAAGAACATTAGGGAATGCGGGGGGCAAGGGTGGTAACATCCTGGAGGCACCTGAGCAAGCAGTGGACGGAGAATGGAGAGGCAGGGGAGGCGGGACACCACTTTGAGGAGCATCATCGTGTCCTTCCCAGGTCAGCTACCCTGCCAGGTCCCTGGGGATTGATAGTTGTGGATCAGCATTGAAGACCTAGCTCAGCTCCCTGTCTGTCTGGGACCTTGCATCTCAGTTTCTTTACATGATATATGCAGTGCTCAGAACTTAGAGAGGAGTGAGGAGGAGACTGAGTGGGACTCAGGCAGATGAGTTCAAATCCAGCCTCCCATACATGTGTGGGCCCTCGGGAAAGTCACCTCATTTCTCTAGGGTTGTAGGAGTTTTGAAAGGTGAGAGTCCAGAGGCAGAGGACATCTGTTACGGAGCCCCAGAAG